TTTTTCATTTGAGTATTCATCATTACTTCATAAGCAGTTCCAAATTTTTTTTTCAAAAATTGAGAAGTGGCTGAGTGCTGAAAAGTTACATATCACTGATAGTCGTTGCTTTCTCCCTTTCCTTCTCCTGATGCAAATTCATATTACCTGCCTCAGTTCTTTGCTGTATTGATAGCTTTTTTGTATTTTGATCATATGTTGTTTCATTTGAAAACTGTACGTTTATAGTTTTTACCGTACGTTTATAGCTTTTTTTTAACAAAAATTTGAAAAATTTCTTACGACTGTTTCCTTGTATGTTAATTGTACTATCGGTAACCTTTGCCTTTTCCTGTTTCCCTTTTTCATACTGCAAAATGTGAAAACACGGAAAATTTTTCCAGCCTGACAAAAAGAAAACGGCACAGACAAACGATGTATCAACAACAGCATAAACCCAAAATTGGAAAATCGGAAATTTGTCTTCACTACACCTACTTTCTTTTAAACCATTTTAAATTATTTTTCAAACAGTACAATTATGATGAATTACTCTCTACGAAACGCTGAAACACACAGAAACAGCCCAGATAACAGCATGTGCCAATAGCACCACCCGCTGGCAAGGCCATCGTTGGCTCATTCCGGAAAGCAGCTGTTAGATGTTAGAGCTAACGGCGGTTTTGACTTTCTGTCATATGCCAGTACCAATTTACCATCGAAATATGAATCGAACTACAAAGATTTTGGTTATTCCATTTTAAGGAATCGAGCTTTTCACCGGCAGCTTGAAAATTGTATTACCTACTGCCGTAATAATGGACGAAGGAACAAACTACTGCTTCAGCAGGCTGAGCAAAAGACTAGAAAAAAAGCTGGGTACAGTTTCTTCCAAAACCTGATTATGATGGCAGCTCCGAAAAATTTACCACTTCATGAGCACTTCAGTTTACCGCATTAAGCGATTGGGCGTTTTTTCCACCTTCCTCTTGGCACTCATTTATTTTGCTTTGGCATCAAATTGACACCGTGTCAGCTGCAGTTCTGACGTTGTAATCATTGATGTATCATGCCACTTAATTCCCAGTGATGCTTATCGCATAGTAGCCAAGCTCATGTGCTTATACTTATTTACATACCGTAATACATGCGCCGTTTTTATCACAGCCTTTAGTCTCTGGCAATTTTTAGTTATCGGGAAAGGGAGAGGGGCAGTAGGCAAAAAAAGAAAAGCTAATTTTAGCTTGGTTAGTTTATTTGCATCAAAAATCTTGTAAATGGAACAAAAAAAGGTTCTTTTCCAGATAAAAATAAAATATCGGAATGATTCTGGAGTCGGATTTTGACGTAGTTTTATCAAAAGACTAATAAGCCACTTCGGTTTTCTTATTTCCACTTTAAAGCCAAGTGCTGTAGTAGTGTATGCATTAACGCTTGAAATAGATGTATTAAAAGTATATATCTTAAGAATTGTTGCTGGTATGGTACCCTAGGTATTTCAGCTATTAATA